AACCTAAATTTCCGTTGCTAGATTCTACTAGTCTGCAGAAGAGTGAGGGGGGATTTGATAGCAGCCTTCAACTTCCTGAAGGGAGGATCCAAAGAGGCTGGCGAGAGGCTGTTCTCAGTGGGGGCGGATGGCAGCACAAGGAGCGATGTGCTCACCTTACAGTGGGGGAGGCCTAGGTGGGATACTAGGAAAAACTATTTCCCTAGGCGGGTGGGAAGCCCTGGGAGGGGTTCCCTAGGGAGGAGTGGAATCTCCATCCCTGGAGGTTTTTAAGTCCTGGCTTGACACAGCCCTGGCCGGGATGGTTGAGTTGGGCTGGTCCTGCCTTGGGCAGGGGGTTGACTCGATGGCTCCTGAGGTCTCTGTCTGCCCTGTGATTCTAGGATTCTAAGGGATGGGCTGCAAGTGCTCTGGAGGGAGGGTCAAAATTCAAAATGATCTGGAGAAATGGTCGGAGGTGAGTAAGATGAAGTTGAATAAGGACACATGCAAAGTGCTCCCCTTAGGAGGGAACGCTCCATGTCACACACAGAATGGGAAGCGACTGTCTAGGAGGAGTCCTGCAGAAAGGGATCTAGGGGTCAGAGTGGACCACAAGCTAAATATGAATCAACAGCGTGACACTGTTGCAAAAAAAGCAAACGCCATTTTGGGATTTATTAACAGGAGTGTTGTGAGCAACACACAAGAAGTCATTCTTCCGCTCTGCTCTGCTCTGCTCTGCGCTGGCCAGGCCTCAGTTGGAGTCTTGTGTCCAGTTCTGGGCCCCACATTTCAAGAAAGATGTGGAGAAATTGGAGAAGGTCCAGAGAAGAGCAATGAGAATGATTACAGGTCTAGAGAACATGAGCTAGGAGGGAAGACTGAAAGAACTGGGCTTGTTGAGTTTGGAGAGGAGAAGACTGAGAGGGGACAGGAGAGCGGGTTTCAAGTATTTAAAAGGCTGTTGCAAGGAAGAGGGAGAAAACTTGTTCTCCTTGGCCTCTGAGGACAGAACAAGAAGCAATGGGCTTAAACTGCAGCAAGGGAGGTTGAGGTTGGACATTAGGAAAAAGTTCCTGCCTGTCAGGGGGGTTAAACACTGGGATCAGTTGCCAGGGGAGGTTGTGGGATCTCGGTTACTGCAGAGATTTCAGAGCAGGTTGGACAGACGCCTGCCAGGGATGGTCTAGATGGGGCTTGGTCCTGCCGCGAGGGCCGGGACTGGACTCGATGACTCTCGAGGTCTCTTCCGGTTCTCGTGCTCTATGATTCTAATTGGTGCCGTTCGGTGAAGGTCGGTGGAGCTGCCCATTTAGAATTAAGGAACGAATGGCTGTTTGTCTTGCTGGGGGGAGACACACACAGCCATGGCACGACCCTCGCCAGCGGCCCCCCCGACTTGCCAGCAGCTCGGGCGCTCGCCCCGGGCCTGCAGGTTCCCAGCCTGGGACGGAAGACTGGGCGTTTCCGAGGCCCCCCAGTGCCCCCCAGTGGTCTTGTACAAAAGTGTATTCTTCTGGCAGTTCGGATGCCCCGCACGCCCAGGGGCCCAGCTCCTCCTAGACATTCAGGGGCCCGGCTCCCACTGACACATGGGGTCTGGGTACAGCCTGAAGCACGCCGAGAGCAGAGCCCCTTGTGCCTGCGCCAGGCACGGACCCAGCCCTGCCTAACGCCCTGCCTGCTGCCCAGCCTGCCTGCCCGGGAGGGGGGGGCATTGCAAAGGCAGCCGCAGACACGCTGAGGGAGTCCCTCAGCTAGACTCCCCAGGGTGGGAATCCTCGGTTCAGCCCCTGGCAAACTCCGGGCTCGGGATGGGTGGCGGGTCACGAGTCTGTCAGACCAGCCACGGCTGGGCTCACCGGAAAACAGGGTCATTCCCAAGCCGTTGGTTCGGTGCCGAGTATCCCACATGGGAATTCAGAGCGGCTCATGCCACCTGCCTGCACTGGGGTGCGTAGCCTCGGCGGCTGCGCTGGAGAAACGGGCGCCACGGGACGCGTTTGGCATAACGCAGCTTTGGGTTGTGCAAATGCAGACGCCAGTCGGCACCGAGCCGGGTGGCGTCACAGGAGGCAGGAGAGGGCTGGAGTCCCAGGGCCACGTAACCCCAAGGTGCCTTCCCTGAGCCCAGGGCTCCATGTCTCTGTCCCCAGGAGCCTGGCGGGACTCCCAGCGACTCCTCGCTGCCTCTCCCCAGGAGGGCTGAGCCATTCGCCACAAGAGTGCCGAGGGGCCCTGGGCGCTCATGCCGACTAGGACCCGGCTTTCACCACCGCGGCACGCCGGTGCTAGGCTGCGAGCGGCGGTGAAACAGCCCGTCTTCACTGACGTGGGCAAGGAGTGTCCATTGATGGCGTAGGTACCACGGATGGCCCATGTGCCCACTCAACATGCGCCAAGGACCCTGGCTCGTGTCACGTAGGCAGCCCCGAAATGGGGGACGTGGCCAGGCCTTCCAGCGTGCTGCTGCACTCTGCTCTGGGAGCCAGCCACATGCAGCACCCCCTGGCTGGGCCCGTCTTCACTGACGTGGGCAAGGAGTGTCCATTGATGGCGTAGGTACCACGGATGGCCCATGTGCCCACTCAACATGCGCCAAGGACCCTGGCTCGTGTCACGTAGGCAGCCCCGAAATGGGGGACGTGGCCAGGCCTTCCAGCGTGCTGCTGCACTCTGCTCTGGGAGCCAGCCACATGCAGCACCCCCTGGCTGGCAAACCTGGCCGGCTCCCCCTTCGGAGGCTGGCAGGGTGGGCGCAGGGGCATCGGGAGCAGGAGTCCTGAAGCCTGGTGCCTCCCAGGAAGCGCCCACTTGCTGGAGGACTTGCTGCCTTCCCGCCGCGCACCAGCCACGCCTCTGTCCTTGCAGGCCACGCAGTTCAACATGGAGCACTTCTCCGGCATGCACAACTGGTACGCCTGCTCCCACGCTCGGCCCACCTTCTGCAACGTGTGCCGCGAGGCCCTGTCGGGGGTCACCTCCCACGGCCTCTCCTGCGAAGGTACCAGCCAGGGCGGGGCTGGGGGGATTGCTGGCCACGGGGGCTGCTTACCAAGCCGGGGTGCGGAATAGGACGGGAGGCAGGGAGGGGTTGGGGTGAGAGGCAGAGCTAGAAGGGAGAGGGCCGGGCCAGGGTCTGTCGCCCAGGGGCCTGTCTCTGTGGTGCTAGTGCGTGACCCCTACTTGTTTGAGCCGCCGGCGGGCTGTGCCGGGACAGAGGCTGGGCCCTGCTAGGTGATGGCTGTGGGCTCGGCTCCGCGGCAGGCGAGGGGTGGGCGCGGGGTCAGGCCTGGGGACCAGGCATTGGAGGACGGGAAGCGTGGCCAGGGGAGCCCACTCGGCTGGCTTCTCCCTCCCGCCCTCCTAGTCTGCAAGTTCAAAGCCCACAAGCGCTGTGCGGTGAGAGCCACCAACAACTGCAAGTGGACCACGCTGGCCTCCATAGGAAGCGACATCATTGAGGATGAAGATGGGGTAAGCACGTCCCTCTCTCCCCGCCCCCCCAGGAAGGGCACTGCCCTCCTCGCCCTCCCTGGCCAGCCACCGGACCAGCCAGCCCCCTAAGCCAGGGCGCCAAAGACAGCTGTGGGCTCAGCGGGCCGGCTTCTTATGTGGCTGCCCAGCAGGAGTCACACCCCGGAGTCAGTGTCCTGTGTCCAGATGGGACCACATGTCCAGATGTGGCCGTGTGTCTAGACATGGGCTCCGTGTCTAGACGTGGCCCCCTGTCTAGACGTGGCCGTGTGTCCAGATGTGTCCCCCGTCCAGATGTGGCCGTGTGTCCAGACATGGCCCCCTGTCCAGATGTGGCCATGTGTCCAGACATGGCCCCTGTCCAGACGTGACCGTGTGTTCGGAGCTTTGGGGTGACTTGCCCCAGGCCCCGCAGGGCAGCGGGAGAGCTGAGAACGGGCCGCCAGCCAGGTAACTGGCCTGTGTCGCTGCTCTCCCCTGGCAGCCATGCCCCACCAGTGGCTGGGGGGGCACCCGCCCGGGGGGGGCTG